AAATATTAAAGTTGCAAATGTAAGCTTTTCTCATGTGTCCAGATGGGGGAACTAGAAGCTTATTCAGGCCATGGAAAACGAATTCCAGTAATCTACTGCTGATCCTTCACAATGCCCCCCTTGTGCCTTTTGTTTTAGCCTCCGCACTGCCTGTACTCAAAGCCACTGATAACGTTAATGGTCCCTTCCTCCAGCCAGCGGATCTTGAGCTATTAGGGGTTGTGAGAGAACTGAAAATGCTTGTTAAGTCATAGCTGAATGTCGAGGGGACGACTAGGGTCAACTTTGCAAGGTCAACACAAGTTCAAGCCATAAACCACAGTGAAAATAGTCTGGTGACAAATGGACATGTCAAATTAAGACCAGATACTTGTGCAGTGTGTTGGATATATTTGAAATAGGGCTGCACGATTACGACAAAATTCATAATTGTCGATTATTCCCTTGAAATTGTAATTGCGATTATTAATTACGATTATCACAATTTACATTGAATGATGTTTATACCATTGTTTGATGCAACTGCATGCCGTATGTTTATATGAAAATAAACAAGCTGAAACACTCTAACTGAAAAACTTTTAGTGCTTTTCTATAGTATTAAGCCTCAAATGTCAACTATACATCGGATTGGTTTCTTCTTTAAATTATAAAAAGTAAAAATATGAATGGTATTATAATGTTATACTAAAACTAAAATTAAAATAATGGGAAAAACCCTTAAGATAACATGTAGAAAGAAAAAAACGCATCTTAAGCACGCAGAATAACATAAGTGGACTTTGAACGATTAATTGCCGCTTTGAACGATTACGTAATTGTGGCATCCATAATTGTAATCACGATTAGAAATTCGATTAATTGTGCAGCCCTAATTTGAAAGATCAAATAATATGCAACATGCTGCTTATTCTAGATAGACACTCTTAAAAATATTGGTTCCAAAAGGGGGATTCTGTAGCAATACGATAGAAGAACCATCAAGTCCAAAGAAACAGTTCTTTAAAGAACCATTTTTTTTCTTAATAAGAGCATTTTAATAATCCTGAGAACGTTTTTTAATTATAAATAACCTTTTATGCAACGGAAATGTTCCGTTGCACCCTTAATAATAAAGGTTCCAAACGGCGTAGTTTTGCAGCTATGCCATAGAAGTGTTAAGGTGAAGAACATTTTAATAATCTAATCTTTTTCCAATATAATGAACCTTTTGTCCAATGATAAGGTTCCATGGATGTTAAAGGTTCTTCATGGAACCATAAATGCTAATAAAGAACCTTTATTTTAAAGGAGTGTCGTAAACATTTACATTTTTTAAAAAAGCTCTTCATTGCATTCTCATTCACAGAAAAGGATTGCCTTGAAGTCTTGAAATCCGAAAATCCCACATCTTTCGACATTTAAATGTTTGAACCCAAGCCCCCTGGCCCTTTTCAGATGGAGAACAAAACAAGCACAGAACATCTTATCACTTTTCCTTACATCTCAGAACAGTCACAGTTCATAGGTTGCTTAGGTCTCTTCACAACTCAAACAAGCAGTACAACACCCACTCACTCATTCCCGAATGAACATGCTTTTGATTTGCACTGTCAAAAGGTGTGTAGTGCATGAACCGAAGCCGTGTAAACAACCTGCTTCATTGAGGCTGAGCACAGTAACCAGCTGCACATAAACGGGAAGTGACTTTAGCAAAGGCCCATGCAAATATTTCCCACCACTGCTGCAAGTTTAAGGTTTTTGTTTATCGGCAGAACACTAGAATAACTGTAGTGTTTAGTGTCATCTTTTTTTAATCTATGGCTGCCTCTTGACAACTAAGAAGTTAGTAAACACAGTAAAGTATGCAGTTGTTACTTTGAGTGTGTATTTCTTTACAGTATTTTACATGTACAGTATACCCACATGAAACCTACTATCACAATATATGTAAAACAGTGAAGCTAATAGGCACACACTCCTACAGACAAAAGAAAGCTCAAACTATTGATCCCATTCAAAGTCATTTTAGTCAGAAACAGACCCCTCATCACAAAGCAAAGGGGTATTAACTAGTGTGCTGACGCCATCCCAGCAGCAGCCCCCCAACAGCCCTTATGCCAGCAAATTCACCTAATAATACAACAAGAGAGCCCTTCATATGCCTGTTGTGTCATTTACCACAAAACCTCCCTCAGCTTATTTGATCGTCACATGAACTTTCAGCTTCACACGAGCAGATGTTCTTTGGCACCATGACAGTCGTGATAATGACAATGCATACACATATCACCCTCCTCCCCTTCATTCTCCTCATTATCATTATCAAACATCACCAAAACCAGTTAAACAGTTTGTATCCAAACTAATGAGCACAATAAATAAGTAACCTTCCTTATATGTAAACTTAAAGAGCATGAGCTAGTAGCAATTAAACCCTCTAATAAAACCCTTGAGATTATAACTAGTTTCTCAACTTTAGACATAGTTTAGAAACTGGACATAGTTGTTTACTAATCAAAGTATACTACAGAATCAAATACTGTATAATCAAAACATACTATAATTAGTATACATACCAATTAGTTTGATTACGTTTTATAACTGTAAAATGTCTTGCCATATGTTTTTATTTATTAAGTGTCCTCATGTGGAAGATCAGTCTTGCACATTACATACCAATTAGTTTGATTACGTTTTATAACTGTAAAATGTCTTACCATATGTTTTTATTTATTAAGTGTCCTCATGTGGAAGATCAGTCTTGCACATTCTTTAGAAAGCACGAACATCCTCTGCTGCTTTTCAAATGCTTCATTCACATATTCCTTATCTCCGCATAGGTAAGATCCCAATTCAACAGGACCGTTATCCAAAAATTCCCTGTAAATCGCAGTCCGTCGTCCTCTAAAGGCTTTGAGCCTTGATAATGGTAAGCTAAATGCGAACTGACAAGCATCCGACAAGCTTTCAGGGAGAGGGGAGGAAAAAAAACTGAACAAAACAAAAAAAAAAGTCAAGCACCAAAACCCTGCCCTAGACTGTAATAGCTCTCAAAGTAAGGGTTTAGATTTAAGACAATCCGAAGCCACTGATCGCTATTTTGTATTGTATTTAAAAAAAAAAATAATGTCTAATAATAGATATGTAGGATATTTTTTTAAATAATCATGTTGAAAAAAATCAATAGGATGATGGAAGATAGCTGATAACCTAATTTAATCCTAATTGCCTGGCATGTTTTTTCCATCTAAAATAATTGGTTTTCAGTGATGGATCATGTGTTGCTCTGCATCAACAAGTTTATTAGGCCTATTTAAATGTGCTGTTTCCCTGAGCCTGGATGAGTTTTGGGTTTATAGTTCAAATAATAACAATTAGAACAAAAATGCATTTGTACGCGATGTAAAATGCATGACGCGGCTGTTGTTAAATTAACAGGAGTAAAGAGTGAATAAAATATGCTGGTCGTTATAGCTGCATTGTCAAGAACACATTAAAGTAAATAGGCTACATTTGGCGTCAAAGACGCCTTAAAGTTAAGTTAAAATATACACGACACCTCTGCATGCCAGCTCAAAAGCTGTTAACATTAGAGTTGGGAATAAAGTTGGGAAACGAGAACCGGTGCTTAAGAATGGGTTCCGTTTAACAATTACGGAACAGAATGATTTTCACGCCAGTCGATTTTTGACCGTGTATTCATGGAACACCGCTGGTCTGACTGTGTTAAGTGTTGTTTATACCAACATACTGAACGTACATCGTGAAACAAACAGCAGCTTTTTTTATAATGAATCAAAAACATAGGCCAGTGTTGCAAACTGCTTTCAATTGAAAGTAGCTAAAACTGGTAGCTAAATGTCACTAGATGACATCACAATGGCAAATTCACTGATCTATATAAAGATGAACGTAGATCAGTGGGCAAGATGAGAACTTAGATAAGGTTTGTCCAAGCAGTTGCTATTGTCCCTAAACTTTTTTAAAAAGTCTCAAAAGGGGCGGGGAAGTCGCTAAATCTAGCTACAAAGTAGCTAAACTGGCAACACTGGACAACGCAATCACTGTACGAACGACTCTCTTATGAGCCTGTTCTTTATAGTAAATCAAAAGCATACAGAGTAGGCCTAACCGGTGTGGTATGATTCCCAAACGAATTACTCTTATGAGCCAGTTCTTTTTAGTGAATCAAAAGCACTTTAATCTGCCTCGTTTTACCTAAACCACAAATACTTACAGTTGCGATCATTATATTTTATATAGGTAAAAAAAAATGAAAATCAATTGTTACCCTTAGTTTTGTTTGTTTCATATTTTATATAAGAGACACAGTCTGGATTGCCCCCACTTTAAAAAGTCTGTGAAAACTCATTAAATGTCTGAGTAAACACACCCTTTGCCAGAAATGTGTTGTTATTTCTGATTTGTTATTGGCTACATTTTATGCAGAAATCTAAAATGATTTCCTCGATCTCATCAGCAACAGACTGCTGAGTGCAGTATAGCCTACGATAAGAATTTATTGTTTCCAAACATTTCTTCCTCAGAAGTAGCCTACCAAAAAAAGCTTGTTAATGGAATTATGAAATAGTCAGGAGGATTCGGAATCATACAACTATACAGAACCTATACAGATGGTTCGATGGTTAAAACTCGTCAGAAGAGAAACTTCCTAAAAATAGCGCATGGACAAACAGAATGGGTTATGGCAGCGGTTATATAGGCTACTGTATGAGTGCGACACCATAGGCTTTATGTACTGCTATCTACACTAAAGAAAGCAATCATTCAGTGTGCGACTATTGTTTAGAGTGAGTTGCCAATAGACTGATCTCTAATCTTAATCTAATCTCAATTAGACCAACGCTGAAACAATGCCTATTCACATCACGCCAGAAAACCCAAGCGAAATCTCCCCGTCCAATCCCTTCAAAGTAGCGAACTATTATTAAGACAAAAGATTAGGCGATCCTAGTTTTTATGATCGATTATTTCTCAGAATTCGATTCGAAACTTACCTCGGTACATAAAAATGACGTAATGAAGTTGTGGGGCAACGGCACAAACGCAAGGTGACTCTCCGAGATGATGACAAATTGAGTGGCATCCGCAGTTTCCAAATGACTTCAGCGTTGAAATAGCGATCAAAGCGATCTGATCGTCTAGGTTTGTAGATCGAGGAAACAATGTGACGACATCGAGCGACGTTGATCCAGATCGAGACGGATCGACAGCGAAGTGCCCCGTGTGTTTGGTGCGACACCTGGAGCGGCAATGGTTCCTCCCTCTTTCAATGACTATTGTTTGTTCAGCATAAAGTTGGGTGATGCAGAGCTCTGGTGTTCAGAGCACTTAATCTCTGCCTGCTGGCATACAAAGTGATAATGTTTGATGACCGACAGTTTAGGGTTATAATAAAAATGATTTGGAAAAACATAAAATAGGCTATTGGGTCAAGGATGTGACGCTCCTTTTTTATTTATTTTGTCAGGGTCTGGTTCTGGTTCTTTGTCTTAGCCTAGGTAATAAAACATATTTCATTATACTAACTAGCTTAATAAATAAATAAATAATACAAAATAATGTCATTCGCTCAGTTATGTAATTTTTAATGCAAAGATGACTGTTTGAGATGTCTTTGTTATGGGCTATGGTTAGGGGTAAGGGTAGGGGTAGGGTTAGGTTAGGGTTAGGTCAAATAATGTCATATTTGCATTAAAAATGACATAACTGAGCGAATTACACTTAATGACAGTTGTCATAAACATGCATAAAACCTCCTTCATATTCATGACATGTGTCGTGTCATGATTATGAAGGTGCCATGTCAGTCTTATGCACACCCCTTCAAGTAAAGTGTTACCCATAACTTTCAGGCCTGCCATGCAGAAGTGGATAATGCAGTAGCTGTTTGGCTGGAGCTGTTGCAGGACACCTATGTGAAGAGTGGTCATTAGTGGCTCTCACCAGAGGCTGTGACAGCTGTCGCTTGTGGCTGCCGCTGGGCCCCAGTGCCCCTCGGCCACTCACAATGCTCCAGTGATGAACAGTAGGTCTGAAAAGACATGCAACCTGACTCCCTCATCTCCATTTACCCATCTCATATTTAATCCCAGACTCACCCTGTCATTAACCACCAGCCACACTACCTCTAGCCCACAGCTTTGATCATTAATCAACGCATTCGCGCAATTATTGAACGGCACAGCTGCCAGCCTAACAACGCCTGTTTTGATCACTTTTCTCTCACATTTTCTATAATATTTTCTATTATTATACATCCTTCATCCTTTCTAATCATCTTACGAGTATGTTTGACAATTAGTGTGGTAAAATTAGGCCTCATTTGTGGTATCTGGGACTGGCACCCTTTTAAGGGCTTGTTTTTGAGATGGAAGTCTGTGAGCGAGAGTCGATGGATTTTTTGGTTGTGGGGGAAGGGCAATTCTGAATTCTTTCACCCCTCGATTCCTCTCAGGCACACACAAAACCTCACACACAAGGGGGAAAGGATGAGTATAAATTATCACATGTTAAATAAAATAAAGCTCTGTGGCTTAAATTAAATATTTGGTGTTTTTTTTTTGTTTTTTTTACAGGAGCATGAAAAGGGGGATACAGTTGAGCCCAAGTATGTTTAAAAGACATTAAATGTTTAAAACCATTTGCATTTAGTCTGCCTGCAACCTATTCTGTTGTATCCCTAGTGTATTTGCATTGCAGACACACTTTGCCCTCACAAAGAACACCTTCTTCTCATTTCTTTTCTTGCGGCGTTTGCATTCTGATCCAGAAAGTGTTTGCATTCCACTCTGCACTACAGATCTTTATGCATCCTAGTTATTGAACATGTGAAATGATCTGAATGCAGCAACCTGTTGTTTTCCACAGCGATGTGGAGCGGAACAACTTTGACTCTGAGAGTTAGTTTGAAGAGTGGGGGAGGATGCATGCGAATGTTCTTCCAGCAGGTCAGAGTTCACAGGCTCCATCAAGAAATGCAGAATGCTTTTCCTGTTCACCTCCAACTGCGCAGTTTATAGAGACAACAGAATAACATGCCCAATTTACTCATTTATAACTTGAATCGAGTCGTTTCATCAGAAAACTATTCATTAGTAGCTGATGCAATCTCTTGGCACTGTAGTAAAACAGGAAGCATCTACTTTAAATCTGGGACATATAGTAGCCTATCAGTGGCATCAGCTACTCTAGTCTGAAGCAGAATATGAATTGTTTTGTATAGAATGTTGCAGGAAAAGGAAGTCTAAAAATAGGTCACGCCAGCACAAGCATTTTGGTTTCTCACTGGTTAAAACATTTCAAACCTGCATGTTACATACTTAACCCCTCTGCTTTAATCCCGTTTTGTGATTTGCAGTGTCAGGCCTGTTGCTTTGACAACAGCAGAATGTGGTGAATATTTCATGACGGGGGGAGGGGGAAGGGTGGCCCGCCAAACTTTGACCTGGAGACTAATCTATTCAGACAAAAAGAGGCAGACCGGAGTTGAATCTTGAGACAATTAAGGTGCACCATGGTCAACTCTTTGTGAGTTCTCTCATTTGAGTGCTATATTTACAAATCCCTCCTGCTGCTTTTTCAGCTTTAAAACATTGTTCATTTAGCTTCTCTGTAGACTTCTGCATTCTTTTAAGTCAGTCTCTTTTTCTAAGACTTGGGATTCAGCGTATTTGGCCCTTCTGTCACCAAATGACACTAATGAAACAGAAATAAAACATATGAAGTCATAAAGAGATGGAAACTCTTTTAGAACACTGTAAATCTCATCAAATCAAATCTTGGGAATACTTTAACTATCTAAACATCTTTTAAGATTTTATTTATTTGCCTTTTCGAAAACTAATGTTTATTTAAAGCTCTTTTCTAGTCACTGATAGCAAAACAAAGTCATCATGAAAAATAAAAACATTTAATGTCATTGTGTTATGGAAATTGTTATTTTTAGAATATTTTTAGAATATTATACATAATAAATTCCACCAAGATGTTTATAAATTAAATCTTGAGAACATTAAATCTTCTGTTAATTGCCTTTAACCCTCTTTGGTACAGTGTTGGTATGTAGCAACATATGACTTTCCTTCAATTTATTGCTCTTCAGGAAAAAAAGAGAAACACTACAATAGTTGTTGACCATTAAATATAATAACGGTTAAATATTTGTCCATGTTAATTTCGAAAAATATCAACTTCATCTAACACAGATTTACAGTAAATTGAGAAAATATAAACATTACCATATGTTTCTGTTCCTCAGTGGAATTAATGTTTTGTTTTTTTTTGGCCTCAATTATATTATATAATTATATAAATATAAAAGAAACATGAATTTATTTGGAGAAATTTATACTTTAGAAAAATATATACTACATATAATAATATTAAACAAAAAACATAATGTGGAAAATATTCCATTGTTAGAACATAATAGATACTACAGCAGGTTAAACGAATATACTTCTTTATCTAAAGAGATTTTGTGTGCACTGATAGCAGGGAAGGTCCCCCTGGAGCACCTTAAGGTTAAGGGCCTTGCTCAAGGGTATTGAGCGAGAAGATGATCTCAGTAACTATCCAGGGCCCCTTCTAGTTTGTGATTGAACCTGCAGTCTTTGTGTTCATAGCCTGGATCCTTTATGGTTAAAAATTCTAGGCTTGTTCAATGACTGTTGTAGTACTCAAAACAGGTCTCGGTCTCAAGACTGGTCTTAAGACCATTTTTTGAAGGTCTTGGTCTTGTCTCGGTCTCAGACTCGAAGGACTCGGGATTTTATTTCAAGACCGGTCAAGACCACAACTGCGGGGATATCACTAAATTGCTGGTGCATTGTCTGATTTATTTAAACTCATTAATGTGATGATGTAAAACTTCCTGCTTTAAATGCAATCAATAACTTTCTAATTTTATTTATTTTGATACTGCTGTGCGCGGTCAGAATTTAATGGGGAATTGTGTCAAAAATTTCACCAAAATTAATACAAATGCCTAAAAAATTGAAGATAAGATTGCAATACACTCTAAAAAAATGCTGGCCTGTTTCAGCCCAACTTTGGGTCAAATATGGACTAACCCAGTTGTTGGGTTAAATTTTTCAATTACATTTTTAACCCAAAAGTTGGGTTAGTCCATATTTGACCCAAAGTTCGGCTGAAACAACCCAGCATTTTTTAGAGTGTAAAGTACTTGTATGAGATCTTGTTTTTATATTAAGCAACATCACAAGAACAAGAGAGCCATTTTCATAAATATGAGCACGATTGCAATGTGTGATATTGATTTTATACAAACAAGAAGTATTAAGTGAATTATATTTTAGACAATTTTCTTTTTTGTTGTTGTTCCAAACAAAGTCCAGCAATCCATAGCAACAGTTGCATTTCCAAGCAACACACAGAGGTGATTCGTTACTGAATGAATCAACTGCTTTGAACAAATCGGTTGAATAAATGATTCTGTGACTCACACATTAAGTGATTTGCCGCGACCCAGACAACTTGCGGTTTTAGTTAGACATTCATATTAAATTATTTTTCCCATCATATTTCTATATTCAAAATGTTATTTTTTAAAACGTTACTCTCAACAATATTTATGCAATTGTAATTGTACCAATTCAGATGCAGCTTCTGTGCCACCTCTGCAGTGCAAAGATGATTTTTTTTGTTAGTGATTTCATTTGATTGGTAACAGCTCTAAATAGAGTTTTATTATTCTAATTGTATTTATTGATTAAATATTAGATTTTTTAAGGCAATAAATGTGGATCTTTTAGAATTTCAGGTGTGCGTCTTGACTCGGTCTCGCCCTGCCTTGGTCTTGGTCTTGTCTAGGTCTCAACACATTCTAGTCTTGGTCTCGGTTTAGGTGGTCTTGACTACAACTGACACTCCCGAACAGAACTTAGAGATGTTGCAGAAAGTCTTCCGCCGTCCATTACTGCACAAATCACATTTATTTCGCCACTCATCATCCATCAAAGCATAGGTGCTTTCATCTGGCAGTGTCTCTTTGTACCTGTAATTAGTTTTGGGACAGGAGATCAACTCTATTAAAACAGCATGAAAAGAGAATAAAGAGGTTTGTTTTCTTGTCATGGCTGCTCAGCAGCTCTGCCTAATAATGGCTGATAGATTTGTTCTGTCAGGCTGTAGAGAAAACGCTAGTCTGGCATGTTTATGACATTACCTCAGAGCAGCACCAGGGCTGGAGTCAGCCGCTCAAGGCTTTATTATGTGTCCTGAAGTCGCATAGATGGTTTTGTGGCTCAGACTACAAAACAGCTGCAACCCAGCAAACATGTTTTGCTAACATTCCA